GTGCATTAAAATTGAAGTTTGAATTCGCTATGCTTAGTTGTCGAAAACTTGTACAACTTAAGGCCCTGTTACACGGTGCAATTTTTCATGCAACTTGTCTCGCAATGATTAAAAAAGATTTTGATAATGCATTGCAAGAGGTGTTACACGCTGCAATGATTTTCATGCAACTCGCAACGATAGGGGACAGAGGCATGCGTAGAGACTAGGGAGAGGTGCTATTTGGCGCCAAATTTTAATTACAGTAAAGCGTGTACTGGGGAGAGCCAATAGGAACTCTCCAAGCCATAAACAACGCCATTGCGAGACAAGTTGCATGAAAAATTGCACCGTGTAACAGGACCTTTAAGCCAGTTTTCCAATTCAATCGTGTCGTACCGAAACGTACTGATGATCGAGCTAGCATGCCGGCGTAGATTGAACTGATGAGGTTGACAAATCCACGTACTTCCGGGTGTATTCGCGTATCAAAATGAAACGTTCGTCGCAAGTCAACTTTTTACTATGGAAGTATTAACCAATCATTAGGGAGTTTAAGCTTCGCGTTTCCGGGAACGGCAGGTTCGAACTTTCTTGGCAAAACTGTCGTTGAACGTTTTCGTTTCATATTCTCTTTCTTGCGTCGAAAGAATAATTATGTATTTCAGTTTTAAAACAGCAAATTTAATTTTCTGATACTGTAAATTTTTTCTTTGAGTGCCTGGCGTTTGCCGTATAACGCAAAGCTTCAACTCTCTACTATTCCCTAAATTTTGAAATTTAAAGATGTTTTTTATACGTTTCGGTAACGGTACGCTTCAAGTGGAAAACTGGTTTTACCTTCAAATACGATTCGAAGTTTGCCGTTTGCAGTTACCAGTCTGCTAGCCTGCGCGCAGACTATATAATGTCTGACTATAGTCTGCGCGCAGGCTACCAGTCTGCCGGCATAAACCGACCGTTAACCGCAAACTACAAATGTTCGACAGCTGATTTCAAAATACGATTTGAAGTTTAATGTCGTTTGCGGTCTGCCGTAAACATCAGGTTTTCACTTTCGACAATAAATGTGGAAATGTATTTGTATATACAATAAAGAACACCCAGTTACTTGCTTTATTTCCCTTCGGCAAAAGCTTCCCATGACGTATGTGATAATCTCTGAAATAATATGCGATAATGGACCGTCTCAATCTAATGTTTTCCTATCACGTATTGCCTGTTATCTGAATGGGAAGAAATCTGTAGGAATGTATCGCCAGAAAAATAGATTAAATGCCGACGTGACCGGACGTTTGGCCGACAGACATTTGGCCAATTACCGTATTTACTCGTTTGAGCGCCGCCCCCGAATGAGCGCCGCATTTGAGATCAATTTTTAAAGAGCGCCGCCCCCGAATGAGCGCCGCACTAAACAGTGTAAAAACTTTCAGCCGTCAAAATGGGGACATTTAGTAACAAAAACCTTTTAAAACTTGTCTATTTTATAGTTAAAAGTTCTTGTCATAGTTCACAAATAAAATATTTTTTAAAGAGCGCCGCCCCCGGTTGACCGCCGCATCTGAAGCTCTGAAAATTTAAAGAGCGCCGCGGCGCTTAAACGAGTAAATACGGTAAGTTTTGTATCATGCATAAATTATTAAGCGAATTAATATATTGTATCGTGCGTAAATTATTAAGAGGAGATTTTGTTTGTATGTTACGTAACACGCGCTCAAAACTAATGCGTGTAATATGTCGCTTGCGGTCATGACGAAATTCAAAATTTTTATTTTTCGATACGTTTCTCAATCGGCAAACAAACTTAAAAAGTATGTTTATTTTTAACTATTATTTTATGTTTCTCAACCGGCAGATGCATTTAAAAAGGTAGCTAACTCTATAAACTAGAGAATAAAGCAAAAACAAAGTAATTTTGAGAGGAACGCCAAAATCATTTTAGGTTTTGAACACTTTTCATTGCAAATACGTGACATTAAAAAAAATTGCCTCTTAAGCGAATTAATTGTATCATGCGTTCATTATCTACTATACAATGGGTTAATTTCCAATCCTACTTTCATCCAAATCGAACCAAAATTTAGTAAACTTATTCTTGGGCAATGCCCAATCCATTAGTCCCACAAAATTTTCGTATTAATACGTTTGATAGTTTTCGAGTTTATCGTGCTGCTGTTTAGACAAACACTGATAATGTGACAGGTTGTCTGAAACATGCTTCAAACCGATTCATTATTATTCACTGGGATCGAAAATAGTCCAAAAACGTGGGCCTATTTGATCGATTTGATCAAGTGCAAGTTATTTTTTAATTAGTCTTCTCACAAGCGCGAATAATGCGAAAATATAATCCGAAATGATCTCGGCAGGAGTCACACCTAATGCATTTTATAGGAAGTTATTTGAAGCGTGTTGAACAGACTGAAACATTCAGTTCTGTATCGGATATGTTACTCTCAGAGTGGGTCGACATCAGGCAAGTTGAAAACTACTTGACCGTGATCACTCAGAGTATCATCAGGAAAAAAATTAGACACCCGCATTCAATAACAACACAACCATCAGCTGTTTCACTTCAAGTTCCTTATCTTTCACCTAAATTTGCAGCGGATGTTTTGATAGAAATCGGAAAATTATTCAAGTTCTCTGTACGCATTCAATCTTTTTTCTGGCGATACATTCCTGCAGAGTTCTTCCCATTCAGATAACACGCAGACATACTGAATGTGAGGAAACATTTTCGATATCGATAAGTCAAGGTCACAGGAACGCAAGGGTCCGTAAGACTACGTAATAAGGCCCGATCATATACTACACAACGATACGATAACTTGTAGTATGCGCGCGCTGATTGGTCAAAAATTTATCGTTATCGTCCGAAGCTGGATCGAAGCTGGATTAGGGGCGGACCATTAGAAATCCCGGGAGGGGGAGGGGGGTATAACATTTTTGCGGCACGATTATTTTTTTCAGTCTCATGTCTCTGCAGGATTTTTTTTATGCCTCTGCAAGAATTTTGTTTTCAAGACTATTTGCACTTTGTTTGCATGATTTTTTTTTCTCTGACGTAATGGCTGCGCGAATTTTTTTTCCAGGCATTTTTCTTTGCACGAATGTTTTTTTTTTTTAATTTTCACCCCCCCCCCCTTGCGGGATTTCTAATGGTCCGCCCCTTAGGGCTGACCCTGGGTTAAAATTGAACTTGCTGTTTTAATTTATATGTTTCTGCACGTCTGTTTATTTCAAAACGTCAGAGAAGGAAATTCCTACTGATTTAGCAAAGATTTCTGAAGAAATATTTCCAAATTTATAGACAAGCTGTTGGGAAGTTTGAATTTTAGGTTATGCTAATCCAACTTTGAACAACTGGCCCAGTAGAGTAGAGCAAAATTTATACTTGTTCAAAATCTACAGAATAATAAATAGTATAAACTAGCTTTTAGAAAGGATTAGCAAAGTTACCTACACAGACAAGCTAGCGAATAAAATCTCTCATAAAGACTCATATGAAAACGCCATAGATATCTTATATAGACTAGATAGCGCATCTCTTTTAGTAAAATTGAAGCCAAGAATATTCCAGCGGTTACCACCATTTGAATAGATGGCGGCCATGTTGAAGTTTCCCACTCGCTAATAAACGCTTAAAAAACAACAATAACTTTCATCATTTGAATAGTTTGAAAATGTATTCGGAATAAGTTTAACTTAATGTTTAAGTTCCCTGTTTAAGAAATAAAAAACAGACGAGTTTTCTCATTTCATGGGAATATCCTGAGTCTGCAATCACGGCTTCAATTTTTGAATTGCAGAATAATTAGATGCACTATGTAGTGTATATAAGATATCTATGGAAAACGCTCGTCTGTAACCGACTTACTGTAAGAATACAAGAATCTTTGTCTAGCTTTAAACTGACTGGCGGTACAAGACGAGACAGAAAAAGTATTTTGATAACATACCATTGCAAGTTGAACTGCTTTCTTTTCCAATTTATGATAGAACAAGATTTATTTTAACACCAAATGTGTTCACTTTCGAATGCAAAATGGAAAAGCTTCAGCCGAGACAGCTGTGAACTGCCTAATCGAGCATAACCATGCATGCATGCACGAGACACAATTTGTGAATGTGGTCTATTATTTGATCAATATATAGCTAACTCAAGTGTGTTCATGGAACAATGCGGAACAATGCTTAAAGGACGCGCCCTCGCATTTTAAATATGATAAAAACGTGTTGTATTGGCAAATATATCATTAAGCCTAATTGTCTCATTTGAAAGAACTTGTTAAATGATGTATGGAGATCCTGCAGATTTTTTATTGTGTATTTTGCTTGATTAGTTAAAGTCATTTTCACCTGGTATCTTCACCGGGTGTATCTGCAAAAAAGGTTTGCACAGGCTTAATTAGGATTTTAGCTTTGATACATAAGCTATAAGCAAAAAATAATTATAGCAATATGTATTAAACTGAACAATTTCAGTCAATTTGTCATCTTTCCAAACATCTTCCTTGTTTACTCATTTGATTATTTCTTAATTGTATAGTTGCATGAGTGAGAACTTACGTTGTTCTTCTAGATCGTCCAATGGAATCAGTGGCGTAACGGAAGAAGAGGGTGGCAGGGTGCCCTTATAGGCATATTTGGGGGGGGGGGCTGTTGATTGTTGTCATTGTTTGACTGAGATATTATATTTATATTGAATATTTATAGAATGTTCTGGAAAATTCCGTCTCTATAACAATAACAGCAACAGTCTCCAACACATCTAACAACTAATAAGAATAACTTTTATTTTATTTGAGATGGGAATAAAAAAATCAGCTACCGTTGTCGATGGAGGCTTTATTATTTAGCATTATTAATTTCGCATTTTCCCATTGATTCTTCACCTGCATTTTTACGTTTTCTAATTATCTGAGGGATAGACCGTGGCTGATAAAGGCCCCTAGTTTTTTTAACTAACCCTACCCAACGAGCGTTACGCCACTGAATGGAATCTAATTCATCAATATATATACACAATACATGGAGCTCGTTCGTTTATTTTAGTATGTCGGGCATTTTAATTTTTTTGTGATATTTTACAATTTTTTTCTATATGTGATTTTTTATTATAATTATATACTATAAATATTGGCTACAAAATTGTCAATTAATTTAATCCACAATGCCAACAATGTCTTTCCATTCTTGAAGTTTTGCTAAAGAAACGCCACTACCTCCACACACAATGACAACAACATCTGTAAGTTCTTCAAGTTTTCCCTCGTCTTTTAACTTTGGTAATACGTTGGAGTAAACGGCAGAGAGAGCGGCCCCGCAGGCTGGCTGTACCAGCATCTGATGGTCATCTAGACACCAAAATACCTGTCTTTTTCTTAAATTCTCTTGGTGCTTATTTTCGCCGGTCGCGTTTATATCAGACTTGGCAAGTCTCGCTCGAATGCACCCGAGGCTATATAGAGCTCGTTTTCGTGTATTTGGTATTAGTTAAATCTCAACATCTCAATTACGAAAACGAGGCTCTATAACCAGATGACGTACTGCTCGGCACCCAAAGAAAGATCCTGGGTACGAGGTTGACTGCTCGGAAGGGTTGTTGTTATTGCTGTTGTTGTTGTTGTGGTTGTTGTTGTTGTTGTTGTTGTTGTTGTTGTTGTTGTTGTTGTTGTTGTTGTTGTTGTTGTTGTTGTTGTTGTTGTTGTTGTTATTGTTGTTGTTGCTGTTGTTATTGTTCCTGCTGTTGTTGTTGTTGTTGTTGTTGTTGTACTGCTACTGTTGTTGTTATTGTTGATGTTGTTATAGTTGTTGTCCTAGCTGTAGTTCAGGCCAATACTCAATTTTTTTATTTATCAGATTAAAAGGAAGAGCCCCTTACCTGCAAAATTAAGGCAAGCATTGATAGCATCCTTGTCTTGTACAACATATGAGATAAGTTTGTGACGAGTCGTCCAATTATATGCTTCTTCGCAAGCTCTTTGGGCTCCCAGACATTTTGCAATGCTAAAAAGATCGAATACATTAGGATATAAGGGACTCCTGGGCGCAGCCAACAGAGCATGTAGTCAGAGTAACTTGCTTGAGCTCTCTATGAACTCTCATCAACTTTGAGCCGGTTCAAATTTTGTGATGAGAATTGACACAGTTTTGGCTCGTTTGACCCGTATACAGAACACGGACACCAACCATGCAGGTGTTAATAGTTCTTGTTTGTTTGGAATCAAGTGTAGTCAACTCTTACTCGCATTCAACTCTTGTTCTCGTTTTACCGGGGCACGAGAGTTGAAAAAACTCTCATGCAAACTCTCGCTTCTCAACTCTCATCATCTCTCATTCTAGTTTATAATATATCCAGTCAACTTTCATCAACATTCATGCAACTCTTGTTCTCGTTTTACCGGGGCACGAGAGTTGAGAAAACTCTCATGCAAACTCTCGCTTCTCAACTCTCATCAACTCTCATTCTAGTTTATAATATCCAGTCAACTCTCATCATCATTCATGCATTTTGGGCTCACCCGCCTTTTGGGTGTTCCACCGCGGGCTGACCGTTTGCCATGCAGGCTACTGCAACTTATAATCGTCGCAGTATTTGCATTATCAACAGTCATTGTCCTTTGACAATTAATTAACCTTTATTATTTTAATATCAACAAAAATTTTATTGCTGCACAAATCTCAAACCGTGCACAAATTAGTTATCACAGCATTTCAAAATAATCCCTACATTCTACATCAGATTTCGTCCATACCTAGTTATCGCAGGAATCGTCACAAGACGTCCAGCTTGAATCGACGCAGCAAGACAATTAGCTCCTTCTGTTTCCATACCAACCACAGACACGTCATTCCAGCCCACGTGATGTAGTCCTCTGAGCACCCCAGAAAGTAAGCCCCCACCCCCGACTGATAATACCACCACTGAAGGTTTCCGGGGGAGGCTGGCCGCTATTTCGTGCACCATTGTTGAATGACCATCCCTACAATAGAATAGAATTAAGCCACTGACCTGAATGTAATCATCTACAATGTCACGACAACTGTTCAGCAAAGATGGCACCCTAATTAAATATCTAACATCATCTTGTATCAGGACCTTTTTTAGCTATATAACTAGGAGGGCCAAAGCAAAATTGCTCCCCAAAATGAAGATCAATTATGCGAACATAATTATATGTTTCCCCCTCCAGTTACTAGGCAATTCCATAACATTTATCTTGTGGTAATTAAAGTCAACAAACTAAACAAACTTTATTAAAATAATGTCTCCCACTCGAAAGTGCGTGATGCGTAATAAATTATTTCAATACTTTTATAACGTCTCTTTGTTCGTCGTAATGTGGAAAATTTCAAAAGTATTCACGAGTGCACACTCTGAAAACACTTTGGTTAAAGATGAGGTCAAGTCTGTTCTATGTGCCATGTGAGGGCTCTCTGATGTGCACAATACCCAAATTTCGCGTTGTTTCTACATCTTCTAAATTGAAACTCTAATCTATATTCATTTAAAAGCAGAGCAAACCAGAACGATGGTTAGATATTAACTATGTGCATCATATTGGATAATACTTTCATGTGCCCATTCACTTATTCGCATCCATCAGAAAGACAAAATCTCCGACAAATCGCCAAGGTCCAGTGTTATAAAACCGATGGCTTTTGTTGAAAAAATTGCCTTTTTTATAATTAAATATTTTATTTAAATCAAATCTGCTATGAACCACTTACAACTGTCATTTTGCCTTTCAAGGCAACTCTCTCAAAGTTTAATAGAGCAAATAATTAATGACTTTCCCAGTTTCCCCTGTCTACTGCCATTTCCCCTTCAAGAAGAGAATACGCGAAAACAATTAGGCCTTTCTTACGCCGCCATTTTTGGGTGGCATTTCAGCCGAGCAAGTCTGCGAGATAAGTCCACATAACAGCAACTTTTTATAATTTTTTGGACGAATGATGGTAAATTTGCTTTGTAAATGGTTAGTTTTTTTTTGAAAAATTGCTTTTCACATTGTTTTAATTGCCTGCATTGGATAATGAAAATTTGATACCACCCAAAAATGGCCGCAGATATTCGTCATCGTGAGAAAGGCTAACTGACCTGAGCTCCGTACAGCTAGACGAAGGGGCCTCGCTGAAACACCGAACTCTTTTTATATTTTTTCAGGTAGTTGTATCATATCCACAAGTTTGCTTGTTTTTAGATTTTAGCCTTACAATCAAACCCAACTTAACATTAATTTAGACACTGGTGTAATTTTGATTTGGACACTGGTACATGTAATTTTGAAAAAGTGTCCACTATTGATAAAACTCTGAGCAGATACACATTCTTCACTCCCCCCCCCCCACTCCATTGTTGGTCAGTTCTCATTGAGGTACACCACGGGCGACAATCCATCCCACTAGTGTGTGTGTGTGGGGGGGGGGGACGATGGAGCCGACCGGTAGACCTGGAAGCATGTCCCCCCCTTTAAATTTTGTAGTATTTTCACAACAATTATTTAGGGCAAAATTTATACAAGAATTTCAATCGCAAAGTTTTGGCCAATAGATAAGTTAGACGTCGAACGTTTTATGTGTCGAACCCACTGGTCCAATCCAATGCCAAGAAGTCAAAACAAATGAGCTTAGGTCGTTAGGACATTGACATTATGCAGCCAGACATTTCACACACGCCTTAGTTACTGAATGTTTTTAGCATCCTCCTCAGGCATCTCTATATAGGGTTAGGTCGATTAGGCTTAGGGATAATTTTTTCCATATCTGCGGAGGAGGCTACTGAATATTTAAATTATCAATCTTTGCTGCGAGACTTTATAATTACAATTGTCCCAAAATTGCATTTCTTCTTCGAGATTTGTCAAATGAATAAATTAAAAAACACACAACATCTACATAACAATCTGCCGCCATAGGTTATCTTGCAATCAGATCATTTTGCTGTGTACATATATTGAATCTTATGTTGAATGTTCGTGTTTACCGACATTTATGAACAATTATGTACTGTCATTATCTCAGCAATAGCAGATGCAATATAATAACCGGAAGCCTCCTATGGTGACCACTTTGCGTCATAACGCGCCCAACAAAATAAACTAGTTGATTGATATACGGAAAATAAACAGAATACATGGGCTTGGGGCGACAACAATCTAGTTGGTATACGGAAAATAAACAGAATTGGGCTTCGGGCATTCAGTTAGTATTGACAACAGTCGAGGAAACATTGTCAAAGTCAGAAGAATGCATTGGTCAAAACCATTTCTGAATATATTGTTGTTTGTATTATGTGTATTGGATATAACGTGCTTGTCAGCGAATCGCGTCGCCGAAAAGAATTCAGAGTGGTTAAAGATTAATTTTGAAAGATTTGGAGGGAATGAGAAGCACGATACAAGCAAAAGAGCGAAAGATATCGAAGGCAATACAAATATTTTGGGACATATAGAGGCAAAGCGATTGAATGTCGAAACTGGTAAACCAAGAAGATTAAATTCGGCTAGACGTGTTACAACAAATTCGAGATCGCATGATAATGAACTGTTTATTCGACCACAACAAGACACGAATGAACCAATTTCAAAACCTCGAGGACTTAACCACACGGAAATACAACAACTCGAACTGGTAACCGGTAAAATTGGCGCCAAAGAAACGGGTTTACGGTCTATCTACATATTAAATCGACGGTCATCAAAGTTAAAATCAATTCCTGATCTGAAGAGCACTAGGTTCGAAGGCGAGGCGAACCTCGGGCACATTTTGAACCAAAGGAGACGAAGCTATAACAAAATTATGTCCAGTCATCGTATTGCAAAACGAAACGTTAATTCAAGTTCACCAACGCAACCAAGTGTAACCCCAACGACTAACCCTCCAATTATAATCCTACCCCCACCCCCCGTGCCCTCATTCATTATTCCACCTGTGTGCAGTGGGCAAAAGTCTTGCTCGGGTCGATGCACCGGAAATACAACCGAATTTCGAAGTGATGATAGTTTGGCGTGCTACTGCGATGCAGCGTGTTACGAAGTATTTAATGACTGTTGTACTGATTTCACAAAATACTGTGGCGTGCAAAAACCGATCGATATTTCGATTAAAAACTTCAAATGGACATGTGAACCGATGGGTCACTTCAGAACGAACCAAGTTTGCGTGGCCGGAGAAGGATTATGGATGGTTTCACGATGCGCTGACGGTTGGCCAGACGACGCAATCCGAAGTAAATGCGAGGACCCCACGACGTCTCCCCGACAGGCTTCCGACATCAGTCGCTATATTCCGGCAGTGAGCGGCGACTTTACATTTCGGAATTATTTCTGTGCGAAATGTAACCACATCGCTGGGAATCTTGATTATTTTCCTGTGGAAATTAAAACTAACGTAATTCCACCTGAACATTATAATTTCAGCCAAAAAGTGAACTTTTTATTGTCAAACGGTGCAGAGTTTCCCATGGACGGACCGGCGAGGCCAAAAACGTCTCATACGAGGCGATATTGTCTAAAGTCAATCATTCAGACTTGTCCTGGTAATACAACTTCAGAATCGTGTGCAAACGGCCCTGTAGCCCTGGTTGATGGGTTAGGCCAATATTTTAAAAATTACGACTGCGCTTTATGTAATGACCGTAACATACCATTTGCATGTTTTCCGTCTTTTCCCTTCTTTAACTGTCGATTCACAGCACCGCAAAGGTTTTTGCTAAATCTAGACTACAAAGACACGAACAACGAACATGATTCGATGTTTACGGTTCTAAGGCCCCATTGCAACAATGGATTAGCGTTCAATGATAAATTACAAGAATGTGCCGAAAATTTCTCACCCCCTTCCGAAAAAGAGGACAAGTTCCGTATATTGGCCTGGTTTGCGCCGTCTAAAGACTTTCAATTCACTGAAAACGATTTTAAAACTGCGATGAAACGGTATTTTGGAGTTGAAGACTCGCAGATATATAATGTTAGCATTGATACAGTTCCTTGGATTTTTGGATTAGATACTACTCCCGATTCTACGATATTATATCATTTGGTCGGTTCAACCATACTCCTCACCCCCGAACAAAGTTTTGATATTTTCTTTAAAATCGATTCCAATTCCTCCGGCTTAAACCTTGGAGGTTTTATTAACTTTGAGAAACCGCTCAGCCTCACCTTAAATAACCTAACCTACACTATAATAAAAACAACCTCTCGCCCGCTTGCCTGCATCACACAGAAAGTTTACACACCACAGGAATATATTGTTTTACAGAACGAACGAGTTTACATCACACCGACCAACATCGGTTACGACAAAGTGGACTATTACGGACAAATTAATGGTAACATTACAATATGCGAAGGATATACACCAAGTAACTGTGAAAAAACTCAAACTGGATTGCCAAAAAATGATTTTATCATAAACACTAACTTAAGTTTGTATCAGAAAAACATTGGCATGCTATATAAACTTGGACAGTATGATGTGTTTAATAACTCTATTGCGTTGTGTAATTTGGAACAGCCTGACATTCCAACATGTTCAAGTGAAAATTCGTGCGAAGGGCGTTGTAGCAATCACACAGAATGGCGAACTGAAATCAAAATGCGTTGCTCATGTGATCCTGATTGTTATGAAGTGTTCAATGACTGTTGTACGGATTACACCAAGTACTGCGGTGCTCAGAGACCAATAGAAACACCGACCAAGAAATATAACTACACTTGTGCACAGGTTGGGTATTTTGACGACGAGTACTGTTCGGTCGGTGACGGACTGTGGACGGTAACCCGATGTCCGCCCGAGTGGCCTTACGACATTATCCGAACCAAATGCGAAGCACCAGTGAACAGACTTACTTACTCTTCCCCAGACCTCAATGGTTATCTTCCGGTACTCGGTGACGATAATACCACATTTCGTAATATGTATTGCGCAATATGCAATACTGTTCAAAAATACGTAAGTTGGCCTGTTGATATTCATACTGTCGTCATCCCCCCGGAAAATTATAACCTCAAGGAGAAAATTCGGTTTTTGCTGTCGTATGGGGCTACATTTCCGGTGGGGCGGGGACCTTGGAGACCTGGAGCGAATCAGGCTAGACGACACTGCGTAAAAGATATCATAGACACTTGCCCTTCAGGTGAAAACGCGCCATTGTGTAACCATGGCAACGTAACTTTAATTTCAGTTAGTCAATCTCAGCAGTTTAAGAATGCCCACTGTGCAGCATGTCACGGCGTACCCAGGGAAATATTAAAGTGTTTCCCAACTGAACTACCACGAATATGCGAACGTTTCGTTGCTCAGTCATTCTCCCTGGTTCTAGATAACAGTCAGGATGACACCGAAATCCAAACAACCGTAGCAGTATACGATGAAAAATGCGGCAAAACTGGAATGATTTTTGACGATAATTTGCAAGTTTGTCGCGTGAATTGGTTATCCCCACCACAACAAAACGGACAGGAACGATTCTACGTTTATTCTTGGCTACAACCACCACAAAATTCTCAGAATAACTCCTTCACAGCTACCCAATTCCAAGATTCCCTTGCACAATATTTAAATGTTTCGCAACTACAACTGTTTGATAGTAATATCACGACTATTTTACAACCAAGAACAAAAACTTTGTTGTTTTATCTTGTGTCATCGACCATCGCGCTAACCCCACAACAAAGCTTGGAACTTTTATCCATCAATCGAAATGATAACACCACATCTTCAGAGACAAAACTCCTGAACTATATTTACTTTTCAGAAGCATTCTCCCTGCAGATTAAAGGCCTTCTCTACACTGTAGCAAAAACAACATCGCGCCCACTTGCGTGTGTCGGACAAACGACTTATACACCAGAGGAATACACTTTACAGCACCAAGAACGAGTGTTTATACCAAGTACTAACAAAACTTACCAACAGTTTGAATACTACCGGGAAAATGTCGAACAGCTCGGAGTGAAACGGGGCAATATTACCGTATGTGAAAGGTTCATCCCAACTCAATGTGATGGCACCATCGTTCAGTACACATCTGAGGAATATATGATAATGGTCAACTTGAGCATTTATGTGAACAAAACTTCAAGTTTGTACAATCATGGAGAATATGAAATCCTGTCTAACAAATCCGTGGCAATCTGCCAAGAATTCGAAGTGCGTATCATTACCGGAGCTCGTCAAACAATTCGGGACAACGAAGCTCTTGGGTACATTACGTTCATTTCATTTCTACTTTCTATATTGTTCCTGATATTTCTACTGGTGACCTACATCCTTTTCCCCCAGCTTCAAACACTACCTGGAAAGAACCTTATGAATTTCGCTGCGAGTTTGTTACTTTTCCAGATATTTTGGCTACCCTCAAATTTCACCGAAGTTCGGTCGGACAAACCAGCATGCATGGCAATGGCTATTATGGAACATTATTTCTTAATGGCTTCATTCGTTAGCATGAGTGTGATCGCGTTTCATACGTGTAAAGTCTTTGCAAGAAGTTTACCTGCCCCCAAAATGTCGAAAGGTCAGGAAAGAAAGCTGTTTTGTATGTATCTAGCCTTGGTGTGGTTAGTGCCTGGAATTTTCGTTGCAATTTGTGTTGTATTAGATGACCAAGATGTTGTAAAACTCGGCTATGGAGAATCAGAAATTTGCTGGTTAACGGAGAACAATGCTTATACATACTTCGTTACCATCCCAATTGCAGTGCTATTGTTGTTCAATATCATTGCCTTCGTTATTGCTGCCGTATATCTTCGAAAACACAGTCAAAACACAGCAGCGAAGCAAGCCAGTGGAAACAGACGATCAAATCTCTCAATATACGCAAAGCTATCCACTCTAATGGGATTTACATGGTTATTTGGTCTCCTCGCTCTCGTCGTAACATCCACAACCGTATTTTGGTATTTCTTTGTGATTTTTACGTCGTTACAAGGCGTATTTGTCGCAGTGGCGTTTGTTGTGAATGCTAAAACATTCGGTTTGTATCGACAAGGTTATAAGAAGTACAATAGTAGTTCAGCTACGCCTAATACTACTACCAAACGGAATCTGACAACGAACATTTACAATGATACCAAACTGTGAATTGCGCAGTAGCGTGCGTTGGTAAAGTTTGTGTGAACTGATACTCTAAGTACTTTTTGGGTTTTCGTGTAGACTTCTCAATAAACTTATTGCAATAACAATTTGAAGTCTTGCTGGTAACTAAATAAAAAACCTCGCGGTTAATTTAGTTGTGGGGGATCGGTTGTACGATAGTTAAATAGCGCTATCCACCCGATATAGAGATTTTTTCAAAACTTGCTTAAATTGTTCGTTGGTTGGTATAACCCAGATTAAACTTTGTTTAAATTAAAGTTTCTATTTATTAATTGTGAGGTCCATAATAGTATAGTTTCATACTTTTTCAAGGCATTCAAGCATTTACAACATTTGAAAAAATCACTATATCCGGTGCATGATAGCGCTATCTGGCGTTCGGCCCCAGGCCAATAAGGCCATATATATTTGAAATAAAATGTCGATTATTTGTTATTAATACTTGTTTCTAATAAGCAACATTAATTCTTTTATACGAACTTGTTACTTAACTATTGTCTATTGTGTTCAGATAACAGACTGTTATTCTTTTCTTTTTTTGTTAAATATATGTATTATATTGTACAGTATTTTCTACTAAATTAATTAACAATTATTGGATGAGGTTTTTGTGATATGCGGAATTATCAAGGTCGAGGTAAGCGTTATCAGCCGAGTCGAAGGCGAGGCTGATAACGCTTACCGAGACCTTGATAATTCCGCATATCACAAAAAAACGAATTCAATAATTGTTTTATTATACATTTGTCTGTGTTCATTCCTATATAGGAATTTTGCATAGGTAAAGTTTTTTATAAGCATTTGTAAGAAATGTTCGAGGGAACTAACTCACTATTTTAACACTGAGTTCTCTCACACATTTCTCACAAATCCTTAACCAGTTTAATTGTTTTTACATTGTTCACTTTAATTATCATACCAGTTTAAAAACATCGAATAATCCAAAACAGACTACCGACAATACACCGCAATTTCAATATGGCGTTGGTAATGTTATGTTAAAAAGGCTTTTCACAAAGTCAAAGACGTCAAATGCGCCTAAAAATGCAAACCACTGTGAATTAATCTGGACATGAACAATGAAACTTCTCTAAAAATATAAAACAAAACAGTCTTTACTCACCAAATATCTTCATGGTCGAAAGGATGAACAAGAAAATGACCTATATTTTAACACAAAAAATGTATAATTATAAATTATTACTCCTTGTAAATTTGCGCTACTGAAATATTAACCTTTTATTTTGTTTCTACGCTAGGTTTATATTTTCCAGCCTATAAATTTCTGGGTAGAGCCAGATGATTATGTTAATATTTAATTTCTAATTTTCTGTTTAAAGTCTCAAAGGCATTGGGTGAAATTCGCTGTAAAATCAAATGCTCATTACCAGGTTTTTTTGTAAGATTGATTGCGTACGAATTTGCTTCATCCCACACCTGAAATATTTTAAAATTTTAGTTGGAGGCTGTTAAGAGGTTCTAAGCAAGCCAAGTTTATGTCTGTACAAGTTATGTCTATCAAGCGGAGATAATTTATGATTCAATATTCTACACTACACCATTTGTCATTTTTAGACCATCTTTAAATTACCTTGCCTTTCACAATGACACTTGCTCCTTCTTCTTTGATTTTATTTCTCATGAATTCAGGTGTGGTTTCTGGGACGACAACAGTTGCTGGTATTTGAAGTTGCCTTGCTGCGTATGCTGCTGCTAGCCCGGCATTGCCTCCTAAAATTTATAGCAAATTGTGGTAAACTGGGTTTGCAAATCTTGGCAGCTAGGTGCTGAAATAAAATCAAACCTCACCTTACGGACACATTTCTAATTATTATGATTAATGTTATTATATAATCCTTTATTGACAAATAGGCACAACATACGTGTGCCTTTAAAAAAACAGAGTTTGCATATTATTTGTTCCGTTTTAACTTCTAATACGGACACAACTCTATGAAGAATACCTCTCTAATAAGTACAGGCCATTCCATTTAAATTAATGTACACATGCCTCTATGGACGAGGTCAATAAAATTTGAACCCCTAAGAAAAAAGATCAAAGTGCCAACACAAACACCCCCCCCCCCCCCAGAAATAAAGAAATTTTTGTCTTAATACCCCTCAGAAAAAAAATGCAAAGACCAAAGGATGCTGATGCACACAACCCCTCAGAAATGGCTTTTTCAAACCCCCTCAGAAATTCTCATCCATGGGAGGGGGGGGGGGGTACATTAAATGAAATGGCCCATACACCTCTCTGATATATGGACACCTCTCAAATTTACAGCATGGATTATTTTATGGAATGGACAACTTGCATGTTAGACTAAATTTAATCTAAGTAAAGAGAAGGGAATAAAACACAATTCAGTTAAAAAGAAAATAATGAAATTAGTAAAATTGCAAAATTTGGTTGCGAAATGTTGTAAAATGCAGAAAATATAGCCTTGTGAAGTTTGCATATTTTCACTATATTTGTATTACACGCGGAAATTGTTACTATTTTCGGCTCAAAAATGGTAACAATTTTCGCACATAATACAAATATACTGAAAATATGCAAACTTCGCAAGGCTATATTTTCTGCATAATTTTTACAACATTTCGCAACCAAATTTTGCAATTTTACTGATTTTAATAAGTTCTTTACGGGAATTTACTTTTTTTGCCTAAATCTAAAATTTGTCTAACATGCAAGTTGTCTATTGCATAAGGAAAATGTAGTTATGTGAGATAGATGCAATATGTGAGATAGTTGCAATATGTGTGTGTCTTGCACTATATGCATGAGAGTTGGAAGGTTTGCTGTATAAGAGATGTGTTCCATGAATTCATCCATCAATGAACCCATGATATGTTTGTCCGGCCCATAATATTTTTGCATTTATATGCCCATGGTGTCTCACTTACCGGATATTGTTTCTTTAAGATTCAGGCCTTCTATGACGTGATATGGTTAAAAAAGTACAAGTATTTATCATATATTTACTTGAAATGATCATAGAAAAGCTGGCTACATTTTCAAGATTTTTCAGACTTGCTTGTAAATGTGAAAAAGTGGGTTTGATGCATATAAATTATCAAGGTGAACTGTGAAGTTCTTTCCTATCATTTCAAGTCAATATATTTTTACACTATCACTTTGGTCGGGTATTTTTCAGCTATCCGGCATATCTGGCCATTTATAGTAAAATGCTCCATCCGGTGCACCCCTAGTTATGCAATTATGCCATTCATATTATTTATTTATTGAAATAACGTTACCTGAAGATGAAACAATATGGGTGTAACCTTTTTCTGCAGCCTATAAATGGTATTAATAAGAAAGTGTTGGCACACAATAGTTAATCAGACTATTTGCCCATGTCACAAGGGGAGGGGGGCACCCAATTATAGCACCAATATTTCTTCTCAATCTTATTAGAACTGTATCTTATGAAAAATAGTGTATTTTGGAGAATGCAGGGAAGTTAAGCGACATGGGGGGAAATAAGGCGGCAGGGGGGAAATAAGGTGACACAATTTTTCAAGGTGACTTTACCAAAGGAAAAAGGTACGTTTTTGAGGTTATCTGTATTCTGCCGAACCTTACCCCCAAAATGCTGGAAATCACATTTCAGGCACTCTAGATTTCAAAAGGTTTTTTCCGGAAAACCCCTAGGTGGTCTTATGCCTTCTGCATTTGATTTTCCACCCAGCCCTGGCAGGGTTTTTTTCAGGGATTTTTTAAGGCTGTTAAACGGCCCCAAAAACTCAATCTTGAATTGAGTTTTGAAACTCAATCTTCTCACCAACGTTTCAGTGCAGTACAAATGAAGTTGTTTGAGTTAATTTCGTGACGTGTGGAAATTAGTTTTCAGTTGGAAACCCGACAATTAAGAAAAAATGGCTGGAATTCATCTCACAACACAAGAAAAACTATGCATTCACCATCTTTAACTAGTTTATAGTGTCCCTCAGCTCGTCCCTCAGTGCCCCTGCTTTAACACATTCCGTCTCAACTACATTTATTGAGTACAAGTGTCAGCCCCCGGTAGGGGGAGGGATTGCAGCCACCCCAGTTGTTCAGCTAAACTCAATCTTCTCTGCAAAAACGGACCCAAGAGAAAATCCTGAAAAAAACCCTGCCTGGCCCACAGGACCACCCCCTTCCAAAAATAACCCCAGACAACCCCTGGCTATGCAACTGCCTGGGAAGTCGCTGGTGGAAGGGGGGGAGGGGAGTAGCCCAACATTTTGGAAAACAATGATAATAAGTTGTTTTCACAAATTAGGAAAGTGCAAAAATATTTCCAACTGGAACCTAAAATCCTTGGTGAATTTGTATATACGTACCTTTTTACATCTATTGCCAATACCACGAATTTTAAACGAGCCAGCTGGCTGAACATTTTCCAACTTGAGGTAAACATTATATCCAAATCTATTAGACAAACACGTACTTTGCAACAATGGTGTTTGTAAATATAAATTGGAACTAGTTGACACGTTTTTACCCTCCATATTTTGAAAATATTGATAGCCTGCGCGCGCTGCCCGATTCTCGCACAACCCCGCGCGTGCGTGAAAACATCCCGCGTGGAATAGCAAAACCTCGCGTGCTTGTGTGATGCTAAACGCTGGATTAGCGCTAAACCCGGATTAAAATTTAACCTGCTATTTTAAAACTTCGAAGAAGAAAAGTCATAGAGAAAAGTGCTGTTGATCCAGAGTCCAGACAAGATCGGCTTTCGACCGGCCCTTGATGAATGATTAGAATATGAATTCAATTGATTTATGTTCCGCCATGACTAAGTTTCACTTGTTTTGTTATACATTGGTTAATAAATCTTGCCAGCAAAACCCACGCACTATTGCGAAACGCATATGGGAATTAGCCCCTCCAAAATTTTACCTTATTTTCACTTTGTGGGACGTATTATTCGTCGGAGTCCCACAAAGTGAAAATAAGGTAAAAATGCGGTAAACTGAGTAGCTACTGTAGTACTGTCATAAAAAAAAAACAGCACAGAGACTGAATATTGTGATCGTATTATATTTGAAGAATCATATATTCAAGCAATGCAAATAACAACAATTCAATCTAAATCAAACAATTCTTGAGAATATATTACAAATATCCTATATATACTGTCTACAACATTACTTACGTCTGTGGAAATATTCAGTATTTAAGCTTACTAGGCTAGCAATTCGTAATTCTCTTCATAGGCGTACCGGGCGGGGGGCAGTCGGGCAATATTCGATCAACAGTCGGGCAATTTTGGTTTGCAATAAAAAAAAATGGGACAAATTCTGTCAATTTTGTCTAAAATCAAGTCAATTTTTTGGCAAATTTTGTGATTTTACGAAAATTTGTGTTATGCTCCGAAAAAATTGGTTGTCCGGAAAATTTTTTTGACCCCTAAAATGGTACACTGACCGAAATTTTTTTGGCGACGGGGGGGGGAGGTCGCCAAAATAATTTTTCCGAAAAAAATTTTTTGGTACTAGTCGGGCAGAATCACGAAAAGTCGGGCAATTTTCTTTCCGCCCCCCTAATTTTTTCCTTCCGGTACGCCCATGATTCTCTTCAATCATGCAACTCGATCTTTGTAAAACATGTTAGCAATCGGTATTAAACAAAAAAGTCTCTATTACCGTATTTACTCGTTTAAGCGCCACTCTTTTAAATTCTTAGTCGGCTACAAATGTGGCCCTTTAATATTTGAGAACGGCGCTTGTTCGAGGGCAGCACTTTCTACAAAATATTTCATTTGTATTAATTAAGCGACAACAAGAAACATTAGCAACAAAATATAACATAAAAACACTGAAATGCAGGAGAAAAAGTTCCGAGGCTTGCAACCTCGTATCCAGAGAGTTTTTCTTCCGAGGTTAGGCGTCATGAACAATTTTTCAGATGGTGCTTCGATTAAGCGGCGGATTATTGTGAATAAATGCGGCGCTTAATGGGAGGGCGGGGGGGGGGGGGGGCGCTTAAACCAGTAAATACCGAATAACTTTTCGCCCTTCTAGCATATGGTGTTAAATCACAGTTCTAATGTTTCTTAAAATGTCAATCAAAACTAAATTAACTCAATACGTTCACCATTAATGTTTAACTGAATGAAACTGTGCATACATTCTTCCGTTGGTCTAAAGAAACACTGACTATAGTGTCCAGAAGGGTGTATTAACCATACAACATTTGCAGTTCACAGTTTAGTGTCTTGGCAGATATTCGTTGAAGCATTTCTTCTCTTAGGATCAACCTCAGGTGTATTCGAGCCGCTTGCATATCTTTGTTTATACAAACCGAATGTTTTGGCATTCACAACAAACGCCATTGCAACAAATACGCCTTGTAACGACGTAAAAATCACAAAGAAATACCAAAATACGGTTGTGGATGTTACGACGAGAGCCAGGAGACCAAATAACCATGTAAATCCCATTAGAGTGGATAGCTTTGCGTATATTGAGAGATTTGATCGTCTGTTGCCACTGGCTTGCTTCGCTGCTGTGTTTTGACTGTGTTTTCGAAGATATACGGCAGTAATAACGAACGCAATGATATTGAACAACAATAGCACTGCAATTGGGATGGTAACGAAGTATACGTAAGCATTGTTCTCCGTTAACCAGCAAATTTCTGATTCTCCATAGCCGAGTTTTACAACATTTTGGTTGTCCAATACAACACAAATTGCAACGAAAATTCCGGGTAGTAACCACACCAAAGCTAGATACACACAAAACAGCTTTCTTTCATGATTCTGCGGGATTTTGGGGACACGTGAACTTCTTGCAAAGACTTTACACGTATGAAACGCGATCACACTCATGCTAACGAATGAAGACATTAAGAAATAATGTTCCATAATAGCCATTGGCATTGCCATGCATGTTGGTTTGTTGGATCGAATTTTGGTTGAACCGGATGGTAGCCAGAATATCTGGAAAAGTAACAAACTCGCAGCGAAATTCATGAGGTTCTTTCCAGGTAGTGTTTGAAGCTGGGGGAAAAGGATGTAGGTCACCAGTAGAAATATCAGGAACAATATAGAAAGTAGAAATGAAATGAACGTTATATAACCGAGTACTTCATTGTCACGGATTGTTTGAGGTGAACGAGTTTCGTGAATGACACGTTCTTTGAACTCCTGACATATTGCAATGGATTGGTTAGATAGGATTTCATACTCTCCGTAATTGTACAAGCTTGTAGTTTTGTTGATATAAATACTTAGGTTGATCATAACTATATATTCCTCAGTTGTGTAATGAACTAATGACCTATTACATTTTGCTGGGATGTACTTTTCACACACGGTTATATTTCCTCGTTTCACATCAAGTTTTTCCGGGTTTTCCCTGTAATATTCAAATTTTTCGTACGTTTTATTAGTACTTGGTACAAACACTCGTTCTTGGTGCTGTAAAGTGTATTCCTCTGGTGTATAAGTCGTTTGTCCGACACACGCAAGCGGGCGCGATGTTGTTTTAATTACAATGTAGCGAATGCCTTTAATATGCAGGGTGAATGATTCTGAAAAGTAAAGATATTTCAGAAGTTTTGTTTCAAAAGATGTGGTGCTATCACTTCGATTGATGGATAAAAGTTCCAAACTTTGCTGTGGAGTTAAAGCGATGGTCGAAGAGACTAGATAAAACAATAATTTGTTTGGTCCTCTCCACGGAGCTATTGAACGACTTATATCGGCGATGTTAATATCAAATATTTGGAGGTGGGAAACATTCAAATATTTTGCTAGGGAACCTTGGAATTCGGTAGGTGCAAGAGACTGATTAGTTCGAGAATTTTGTGGTGGTTTAAGCCAAGCGTAAACGTAGAATCGTTCCTGTGCGTTTTGTTCAGGTGGCGATAACCAATTTACTCGACAAACTTCCAAAATATCGTCAAAAATCATTTCACTTTCGCGGCATTGTATATGATTTACATAGGCTGTCTTGATTTCTGTTCCAATCTCTTGACTGTAGCCTAAAACTAGGAAGAATGAAGAAGGGAATAATATTGAATTTCCCATACCCTTGCAACTCCTAGACTGTGCAGAGAGAAAACATAAAAAACGCTCGCTTGGTACACCATGACAAGCTGCACAGTGCATATTCTTAAAATGCCCTTTATCGTAAGTTGAAATTATTGCTACATCACCATTAGTGCAGGACTCAAAGTTTTCACCTAGAGGGCAAGAATCGATAACATCTTTGTATTGCAAGAATGACGGGCACAGTCGTTTGGCCTGATTCGTCCTGGGACGTGCAGTTTGACTGATTTTTGCCTCATGAGACAGCTGCAGGAAACGAATCTTCTCTGTGAAGTTAAAATTGTTTGGGGGGATGACGGCCGTTTCAACATGAAGAAGCCAGGTTTCGAATTTCGTAACACCGTTACAAATTGCGCAATACATGTTACGGAATGTGATGTTATCACGACCAACCACTGGAAGATAACCATAAATTTCTGAGGAAGATATCATAAAATCGAATGCTGGCCGCGTGCATTTGGTTCGGAAAGTGTCGTAAGGCCACTTGGGCCGACAACGTGTGACCATCCAAACATCTAGATCTGCATTCAGCCAACAAGACAGGCGTTCAAGATTCTTACATGTATAGTAATATTTCTTGGTCAGTGTTTCTGTTGGTTTCTGAGCACCACAGTACTTGGTGTAATCCGTACAACAGTCATGGAACGATTCATAACAATCAGGGTCGCATGAGCAGAACACTTGATTGTCGGTTCGCCATTCTGTGTGCTTGCTACAACGCCCTTTACACGAATGCTTGCGTGAACATGTTGGGGCAGTTGGGAAGTCAGTCTTATTTGAAATACACAACCTAACTGTTTTATCAAGTACGTTATACTGTCCTAGCTGGTAGAACTTCTCAGTTTCTTTATGATACAAACTTAAGTCCGTGTTAATAACAAAATCATTTTTGGTTAGTCCCGTGGAGGTAGTCTTGCAATCAACTGGAGTGCGCCTTTCGCATATCGTAATGTTTCTATCAATTTCTCCAAAATATTTGGATTTCTCGTAAAACGCTTTATCAATGGTCATGTTAATAATGTAAATACGTTTGCCGTCGGCGAAAACTTTGTAATTTTGTGGGGTAATAATTTTTCGTGTGATGCACGAAAGCGGCCGAGCAGTTGTTTTTATTATGCTGTACGTAATGTTATTTAAGCTGACGCTGAGAGGCTCCTTAAAATGAATAAACCTTCCAAGGCTTACACCCGAGAGGTTGGAATTACTTTTAAATAAAACATCAATACTTTGTTCCGGGCTTAAGAGAAGCGTAAAACTGACCAAATGGTACAAAATTATAGAGTCGGGAGAAGAGTCTAACCTAGGAACTGTCTCGATGCTAGTATTGGACATCTGTGAGTCTTTAACACCGAAATATTGTTTCATAACAGTTTTAAAATCGTTTTCAGTGAATTGAAAATTCTTAGACGGAGCAAACCAGGCCAGTATACGGAACTTGTCCTCTTTTCCATCCGGGGAAGGGAGATTTTCAGCACACTCTTGTAACTTATCATCGTACGTTAATCCATTGCTTCCACAAAAGGTGCTTAGGACCGTAAATACCGAATGCTCTTCGTTGTATGTGTCTTTGTAGTCCAATTTTAACAAAAACTTTTGTGGTGGAGTGAGTCGACATGTAAGTAGGAACAAAGATGGGAAACATGTATATAGTTGGTTAGGGTCATCACATGAAGCAAACCCTAACATCAGGGCAAGTGGGCCGTTTTCACAAGATTCTGAAACTGTATTACTTTCTGAAGATTCTGAAGTTGGAAAAGAATCAACCATCGACTTTCGACAATATCGCCTCGTTTGAGAAGATTTTGGCCGAGCCGGTCCGTCTTCTGGAAACTCTGCACCATTTGACAACAAAAAGTTCACTTTTCGACTGAAATTATAATGTTCAGGTGGGATTACATTCGTTTTAATTTCTACAGGGAAATAATCAAGATTCCCAGCGATGTGGTTACATTTCGCGCAGAAATAATTCCGAAATGTAAAATTACCGCTCACTGCCGGAATATAGCGACGGATATTGGAGGACTGTCGGAGAGATTTCGTAGGGTTCTCGCACTTATTTCGGACTTCGTTGTGAGGCCAATCGTCGGCGCATCGCGATACCATCCACAGCCCTTCGCCGATTTCGCAATGAGGTGGATTCGATGGAACATTACCCAATGGTTCACAAGTCCACTTGTATTTTTTAATAGAAATATTTCTCGGGTTTTGCACGCCACAGAATTTCGCAAAATCGGAACAACAGTCATTAAATACTTCATAACAAGCCGTATCACAGTAGCACGCTAAATTTTCATCAGTTCGCCATTTCGTTATATCACCCGTACATCGATCACGGCAAGACTGTTGCCCGCTACACACAGGTGGAATATTACATGAAGAACTTGAAGACGCGGGTGGATTACTTGTTGGGGTTGCAATTGGTTGCGTTGGTTCGCTTGTATTCACGTTTCGTTTTGCAACACGATGAATGGATGGCATTTTCTTGTTCATCCGTTTTCTTGGGTTTGAAGATTCATAGGGGCGGTCCACTTCGTCTTTGGCCGATAACTTTCGATCTAATATGTCAGACTGTAAGCTCGTTTGTTTGGCGTCTCTTTTGCTGGTTGAAATTTTCTGTTTTTGTCTTTCCGGATTGTTTGGTTCTGATGTTTTTGAAAATGGATTATTCGTGCCTTTTGATTCAATTCCTTCGCCAATGTCGTGTTGCTTTGGTGCAACATGAACAGGGTTTGAGTGTAATCCTTCCTTGCCACGTTCGAGGTTCAACGGTTCTGTTTCCTCAAACCCCCGAAATTTTGCTTTCTTGTTTGTTTCGTGGTACTGTTTCTCTCCAATTTCTTCAACTGAACTATTCTTTAACCATCTTGTATTATTTTCGACGTCGACTCGGCTTGTTGACGAAAACTTTACAACTGACACACAAACTACAAACAGTAAAATATTCGCGAATGATTTCGACGACTGCATTCTGATCTCGTTGATGTTATTTCGAGTGTTGTTCGTATCAACTGAATTCTACGAGGTTGCTAACGGCGCATTTTATAAGAGGCATAGCGTCTGAAACACTTTTCCAAATTCATCTGATGCTTGATTTAGGGCGAATGAAAATGTCCCTTTTATGTTGTTGCGCCTCACACGAAACGTTTGACGTTTTCGAGTGCATGTGAGTGTGTGAGCAATATGACGTTCGGCGTCGCCACTTTAATTAGTATATATGGCCGTGACCTCTTTTTCAGAATTTTCTTGAAGACTTAATTTTGTATATTTCAGTCCAACGTTATATGTTTCCAACGTAAATATCATGCGTTATATGTCTAATTTTCTAATTGTCTAATTTTCTAATTGTCTAACGGTCTAATTTTCTTTGTCAATATGGGCACTTGGTGATTTAGAAACGTTCATATCGCCCTGTCAAACGAATGGCAGACGTTGGACAGCAGTTACCAACGATATTAGATTTTTACCCAAAGCACGATTTTCGTCACAAATATATCATGTCAATTCATGTATTCTGGCAATATTAAAATATATGAATTGCTCAATGTCGAAAAAAATACTGAAGAAATATTAGTAATCCAATCACTTATATCTTCAGAATTTTGAAGACAGTGACAAGCTGGATGAGTTAGCATTCAATAGTTTTGACTAAAGAAATTTTATATTTGTATTCTGGGGGATATGGTATTAACTAGTACGTTTGTTTGACCACGGTGTATATGAATATAAATATATCGAAAATTCAAACTTGAAAGAGAGATGAAAGGTTGTAGCTACCTACCAACATCAATATCCAATAGTGGTCTTCAAATTTGGTCGACATATTTTATATAAAACGTTTGCGTCCGATATTATACAACCTATAAGTACAGTTCTTTTCCTTAAATTAAGCGACAAGACTATACGTATAATGTGTTGAATTTTGTCTGCGCTATAAATTCTATTGTACATTTGTTGATAACACTACAGTTTGACCACTGTTGTAATATTACAAAGTATAAAATAACGGTAACTCCGAAAATAAACATTTTAATATTCTAACTTTCGACTAAGATTCAGTCATCATCGTCTGAATTTTAGTCGAAAGCTAGAATATTAAAATACTTATTTTCGGAGTTATCGTTGTTTTATATTTTATTAAAATACTCAGTGGTTCCCGTGGTTTTGTAATATTATAACACGTAATTATTTAATGGTGGCAATTAAATTATATTCATGGCAATAAAACTAAATATTATAGCTATCTAATATATAGAAAGCCAAACTATTGGAAAAAGGCGAAAAGTCAGTTTATGCAACACAATCATTCGAATATTAAATGTATCATTGTTAATTTTAAAATGTGTTAAGTGCGCATATATATTGAGTGCGTATACAGAGGTGCGCATATATCTGTTAAGTGCGCATATGTGTTAAGTGCGCATATGTTAAGTGCGCATATATGTGTTAAGTGCGCATATATGTGTTAAGTGCGCATATATGTTAAGTGCGCATATGTGTTAAGTGTGGATATATGCGCATATATGTGTTAAGTGCGCATATATGTGTTAAGTGCGCATGTGTTAAGTGCGCATATGTGTTAAGTGCGCATATGTGTTAAGTGTGCATATGTGTTAAGTGCGCATGTGTCAGTGCGCTGGTGGTGCAGTCGTCACAACAAGCGTCTGTCACGTCTGAGATTCAGTCAGGCATTTGAAGTTTGCCCGAATTTGTAGAATTTGTATGCGGGATTGTAATGAAATAACCTGAATTTTTCAATTTACTGTACATTTCCAGAATTTTGTTGATTTTTCAAGCATTTCCCCGAATTTACTTAGTCTCACTTTTGCTGGAAAACCGTAAGGTAGTTTTTACTCGTTTTTACTGCGCATACCTGGTGGCTAGCGTGGTGCGGCCGTTTGCTTAGCAAGAGAGGCATTTACCCACCTGGAACATTTTAATGTTTTAAAAATGTTTTAAAAATTTCAATGTTTTCAGGGGGGGAGTGATTCCTCATGCTAAATTAACCTGAAGTGGGACCTCTGTATATACTTTACTTGCTCTGCGTGTGGTTTAAACGTGAGAGTCTGTCTGAGAGTTAAGAAACACTCACATACATTCGCTTCTCAACTCTCATTTTCGTTTGACAGAGGGTTGCAACTATCTGAAAATATAAGGAGAATTTTGACGTTTCGAGCGAAGGCCCTTCCTCTGGTAGTTGGCAGACAAACCTCGTCGGTAGCTACCCACGACGAAGGGGCTTCGCTCGAAACGTCGAAATTCTCCTTATATTTTCAGGTATAATTGCATCCTTACCAAGGAAAGCTTGTTATTATATTGGACAGTTCAAGATTTCAAGACATGTTAACAAACTACATTCAACAGAATACATACCATGCGTGCCGACCATAACCATGTTGTTGAAAACTATACGAATCATTCTGACCACGAAGCGTCTCGGAACTCTTGAAAAGCAAAGCCAACGCGCCGAAACGAAGCCCCTGAATGGTATATACTTTCCAGTATTATTGAGCTAAGGAATGCAGCTATCCTTAGTACTAGTAACTGATGTCCGAGATGCCCCAATTCACATCTTATAATCGCCATTGCTTTGACGAACCAGCTAGAACTGTCTTTATTAGCAAGTCAGATTTACAAGTGCGAGGCAAATCGCATGCATACCCAAGATCAAAGATTTCTAACCTACTTGTCCCCAAGAGACTAAAATTGAATCGAAAATAGCTCATTATACAGGGTGTAAACAATTCCTTTAGAAATCAAGCTGTTGTTGTTAAGAACAAGATTTTATGCTCCTGGGAATTTAAAATAGCTTCTAATCGTATGAAGAAGCATAACTGCATAAAATAGTCAAATTATTAATTGGTTATATCATCAGTTCAAATAAAAATAGTTCTGAGCACAGAGCAACGAGTTTACTGTTTTACGCGCTGCGTTAAATTAATCAGCACATAATTCAAATGAAAGTTTTAATGCTATGGTCTATGCATTCAAATTGCAAGCTTGCTTTCTAAAGGTCTCGTTTTTTTACACACCTTGTGCATAGACACTTGCCGCGATTTTAGTTAAGCAAGTTGGGCGACAAACGCGACGGCTATTCTCCAAGAGTTGCATGAGAGTTGATGAGAGTTGAGAAGCGAGAGTTTGCACGAGAGTTTTCTCAGCTCTCATGCCCCGGTTAAACGAGAATAAGAGTTGCATAAAAGTTGATGAGAGAACAAGAGTTGCATGAGAGTTGACTGGATATTATAAACTAGAATGAGAGTTGATGAGAGTTGAGAAGTGAGAGTTTGCATGAGAGTTTTCTCAACTCTCATTCCCCGGTCAAACGAGACCAAGAGTTGCATGAAGGTTGATGACAGTTCACTGGATATTATAAACTAGAATAAGAATTGATGAGAGTTGAGAAGCGAGAGTTTGCATGAGAGTTTTCTCAACTCTCATGGCCCGGTCAAACGAGACCAAGAGTTGCATGAAAGTTGATGAGATTTCACTGGATATTATAAACTAGAATGAGAGTTGATGAGAGTTGAGAAGCGAGAGTTTGTATGAGAGTTTTCTCAACTCTCATGTCCTGGTCAAACGAGAATAGGAGTTGCATGACAGTTGACTGGATATTACCACACGCGTATAGCGAAAACTCTCATCAAAATCACAACGAGTTCAAAGTTCATGAGAGTTGTCGGTCAAACGCGATCGAGATTTGCAATTCTCATTAACTCTCATCCTCGTTTGAGCGAGGCTTTATGCTTGTGTCTGAGATTGTGTGTTGTTCCAAGAGGTTGGCACAACCCACCCATTTTCGCGACCCTCCTTCAATCGACCGCGGTGGACGTGTTTCAGTCTTTTATTTTAATTTAATTTTTATTTATATATACTGAAAACAATAGTTTAAAACTATCTTAAGATTACGTCTAAAGTATGTAATGCTAGAATGTAAAAGCCTTTTTCTTAGCTTAAGACTTTTACTTCCCAAAAGAAATATCTCCACTTTGGACAAGTGACGGAGTAATTTACACGTATATGCCAATAGATTTCTCATATGTATCAAAATGAAAAAGAACCCTCTTTCCCCACAACCTCTTGGCAACCACCCCACCTCTCCGCTTTCGGCGTCCATGGGAGTCAGTCTTTCCCCGCGCTGCAGGTGAAGACCTGACGCCTACTCACGGAGCATGCGTGGTTCATAATCCCGTTATCACTTGATTCGACGGGATTTTCCCGCGTAGGCCAAGGTGGGTTTCAGCGAGCATGACAGTGCACACTGTGGCGCACAAATTTATCGGACAGGGTATTAGAAAAAAATTTAGTGTTGTACATACATTTGTTTGGCTGAAATTGTTTTTCACCCGTCATATAACTTTGCTTTTAATGATGAAGTGTTTTTAAAATGTGCTTATTCTGAAAGACCATTTGCTCTAGTTTTTTAGGGCCATAGTAAAGCCGGACTTAAAAAAGTCTGCTGAAAAATTATGAAATTTCTACATGAAATGATGCCAATTTTTCGTACTGAATTGAGGGAATTTCCGCGTAGAGGCCTAGGGCATACCTATACAAGACGGTCTTCAATTTCTGTCATCTTGGCTTCAAAAACAAAGCCGGAGTTATATCGTTCCAGTTTTTATAGAGTTCACTGGTCAACCCAATAGGCAATTCCAGCTTTTAGTTTATGCGTGCAGGGAACGATGGGAAGTAAGGTATCATATTGCTGATTATGCTGAAAAAATAAAAATGGTGGCCGTGTAAATAGGGAGTGATAGCTTATACTTGTAAATATTGAAATATTTCGGTTGTCTCGGCAGTTTTTATTGAAAATTTTCAGCATAATCAGCAATTGGATACCTTACTCCCCATCATCCCCTGCACGCATAAACTAAAAGCTGGAATTGCTTATTGACTAACACGAGCAGCGCAAAATTTTACACCCAGTGAAATCCACCTTTGGAAATTTGTATAAATTAAATAAAAGTTCT